CAGTGGGTTGCAAAAATAGCTGCCTCCTCGGGCTTCTCCTCTGACATATGTGCCACAGGGTTGTCTGTGACGTCAGCTTCCTACTGTGTTTGAATTCCGGGTCACTGACCTGCCTTTGGATTTGATGTTAATTTGACTCAGATTATCTGCATGTTGGTTTTCTTTCAGATGGTCAATTTACTCTTGGCCAAAGGAGCAAACATCAACGCATTTGACAAGAAGGACCGGCGTGCTCTGCACTGGGCGGCCTATATGGGTAAGGGTTCCTGCAGACGACTGTAGCTAAAGAAGCTGTGGGCCTGCTGTGAAGCATGTAGGTTTTCCCTTTGTGCGCGCCTGACTTCTTTCCAAGCTTGGGGCCCAATTGAGTGAAGATTTGGTCCACTTGACTGGCAAGCATAGAGCACTCTAGTTAGACAGTTGCTCTGTCAGAGACTGATTTTACCCCACAGGGAAGAGGAGGGATGAGTCACAGCCTGGACCTCATTGAATGTGTTTCAATCCGGAGGGGAAAGCCGCACAAAATGGTGCTTCTTTTAACTTGTTATGGCAGCAAAATAAAGTGTTTTAAAAAGAACAAGGAGTGGCTAGCAAAGCCAGGACATAAATTCTATGTATCCTTTTATTTAAAAGTATTTTTGAAAGAAACAAAAAGGAAGGAAGGACCACCCTCTGGCTGATGGGTAGGTTCAAGTGACAACAGTAACCGTGAATCCTCCTGCTACTCTCCTGCCGGTGAACCTGGCCTTGCAGGTCTTGCTTCTGCCAGCTGGGCTGGGAGACATGAAGGAAGGAGTTAGATTTCTGTTTTTCTTTTTCACTTTTGTTGGCACAAGTGCCACTGACAAATGATAGGCCTCACCGAGTTTATTCTCGGTGTAGACTTGTGAGGAACGAAGAACTGGGATCCTTCCTTTGTGTTTGTAACCGGAGAATGTCCTGCAATTGGAAAAGCAGGTGGGATTCTACCAGCCCCATGTTATAAACCACTTGAATGCCCATCCCCTGGAGATTGTGTTGGTTAATGATAAAGAACTGCCCAGTGGCACACTGGGCAGTAACTACAGTGATGATGACATTAGTATTTATTAACATCAAAAGATTCTGTGTTAAGTAAAAACAGATCATAATAGCATGGTCCTCGTTTTTGTAAAAAGAATCTGCAGTATAGATGATCTGGGATGTATTATATGCTGAAATGTTAGTTTGGTTTCTGAATCCTTTTTAACAAACCTACAGGCCTTTTATTATCATAAACAACAATAATGTTAATGGTGGGGGGGAGAAAGAGAACAGGTTGGGTAGGGATGAAATAAATTATGTGGCTGTGGATGAGTCTGAATGGATATTTGGGCTTAAAAAACCAGACTCTTAAGATTTTGCAAGCATTATCATTTTTTTTTTTTAAAAGACAACGTGGACTTTGGAGCTGACAGAAGCAGATTGGATGTCTGCATGGTACCTATGGGGCTGGAGTCGGGGTACATTGGCCAGACTGCTGTTTAGGCAGAGCACACGCTAGATTAGTGTGTGATGGGATGGATGCAAAGAGCCTGGGGTTTCAAGTTTGTTCTTTGCTGATATACAGTTAAAACATTTGTGTAGAATTGCTTTAAAGAAGTAAAGTCATTGTTTTGTTTGTAATCAGGATACAAATAGGAAAAAATACATAGATGACTATCTTTAAGGAATAAAGGACAAAACAGGACAAAAGACAAAAGATAGCCCCACTAGTAATTGAAAATAATTTTTCTACATACAAGTTTTGGGGAAAAAAGCCAAATTTTAATAAAACAAGCCATGCCCAAGCTCTTGCTGTCTCACACACACACCCAACTCTCTCCCCCCTCCAAACACACCTCTCTCTCCATCTCTCTCTTTCTCACACACACACGTAAACACACTCACACTCACCCCCATGCACATCTCAGACCCTTGGAATCAGTACTTATCTTCTACCCCTCAATCATTAACCACATTTACAGCAGTGACCCAAAGCATCAAACAGTCTTCATTCACAATATAGAGGTCAAATACATTTATCGTACTATATATAGTAAGATAGGGTACAAAGGAAAATATTCTAGAAAATATGCCAACAGGAGTTGAAACTGGAAAGGTTTCTGTTTAGCCAGTAATTCACAAGAATACTTTTCAGTTGAACCATATGAAATTGTCATTTTTGTGGTCCAAAAAAAAAAAAAAATGGTCAAGCAACAGCAATTTCATATGATTTAACAGTAATGTAGAGTTATTCTGATTAATTCATTTTTTTTCCTTTCATTAATTTTTCCAAACCAAATTGTCAGTGTTGGACTTTAAGGAATGGGAAATGCTTTTAAAAGCATTGCTTTCATTTTAACATAATTCTTTTTTAGGCTGTGGTACTAACATATTGGTAGGACCTTGTTCTCGTTTAAAATGTTGGTGGTAGTAAAAGCTAATGGTGATAATGTAGGTGGAATCAGTCATCAAATTATCCTAAAAAGGCTACCCATGTTTTCTGCCGCTTTGTTTGTGAAGGCCACCTGGACGTTGTGGCGCTGCTCATCAACCACGGCGCAGAAGTGACGTGTAAGGATAAGAAGGGTTATACCCCTCTGCATGCTGCAGCCTCCAATGGACAGATCAGTGTTGTCAAACACCTCCTGAATCTGGGGGTGGAGGTGAGCTGTGATGAATGCATCAATTCATGGTATATTTGTGGGTTTTCCAATGTTTGGTTTGGTTTGGTTTTTTTTTTAAGATTTTATTTATTTATTTGAAAGAGAGCACGAGAGAGAAAGCACACAAGTGGGGGAGCGGCAGACTTCCTGCTGAGCAGGGAGCCTGATGCAGGACTCCATCCCAGGACCCCGAGATCGTGACCTGAGTTGGAGGCAGACGCTTAACCAACTGAGCCACCCAGGTGCCCCTGTGGGTTTTCTGTTGTTGGGAAATTAAATCCTGTTTGCATTTTAATTCAAGAGGGTAATAACCACCTTATTTTCTAGCATCCTGTCTTTTTGAGTTTCCAGGGGCAATTGATGAAGGGCAATGGGGGCCTACAGCAAGTAATGAAAAACCAGAAACAGGCTAAGTTTCTATATCAACATAGAGAAATATTTAAACATATATATTGCATGTAATACATTAGTCATTTTTTAGACGGGCTAGGGTTCTTCATCCTACCTTCAGCATTTAGTCTTCTAAATTGTGGTGTATGGGGTGCCTGGGTGACTCAGTCGGTTAAGCATCTGATTCTTGATTTCGGCTCAGGTCATGATCTCGGGGTCCTGGGATTGAGCCCCACATCAGGCTCCATGCTGAGCATGGAATCTGCTTAAGAGTCTCTCTCTCCCTCCGCCCCTCCCACCCCACCAACAGCAAATGCAATAAAGACAGTGATTTTACCTGCCCTCTGTTGGATTCATTTGCAGATCGACGAAATCAACATCTATGGAAACACGGCCCTTCACCTGGCCTGCTACAACGGGCAGGATGCTGTAGTTAATGAGCTGACTGACTACGGTGCTAACGTGAACCAGCCCAACAACAGCGGGTTCACCCCTTTGCATTTTGCTGCTGCCTCCACACATGGTGCTTTGTGTCTTGAACTATTAGTAAACAACGGGGCAGATGTTAACATCCAGGTACGACACTCTTAGTCTCTCTCTCTGCTAGATACCTCTGCATTGAGCCTCTGTTTGAGCAAAATCAACTCTTGTAAATGGTGTCCTGTTTTAGAATCGGAACTCTGAGTACCTTGACTCCCATAGCCTTGTCCTATATTGGCCTGCTACGGAAACTTAGCTGTGTTGTTACTGCAGAAGTGGTAGGACCAGCTGGAAGGCACTGAGGTTCTAGCCACCTGCTTTTGGTAGCTTAGTGAATGTTCTGGAGCAAAGACTGGGTCCCAGGGATATTGACGTGGCCTAGTTTCTAACACAGAGGTGGATGTTGAGCTGATATGGCAGAGTTGCTGAGAATCAAAGGAAAGCCTAATCCAATGATCTCAGGTCTGTTCCTAACCTGGCCTGGCCCACCAAGGAGTTTCTCAGACACTTCCAATAGTAAACAGTAGGTAGTGACTGTAGTAATGTAACATTGACCTAATAGTAGTCAACGGGTCCTAATAGTCTTTATTCAGCAAACTTACTGAGGACTATCTAGTGCCCTCTCTTTGGTTCCGAGGGAGTACTACAGGATGAGCTATGAGCTCTGCTCTCCAGGAATTTACAGTACGGTAAGGACATAGTATGCTCCGATGCGCAGGAGACAAGAGAGAATGTAATGAGTGGCATGAGAGAGTAATAGAGTATTGCAAACTATAAGAAGCAAGTCAACGCTTGCTTCCAGCTTGGGGATCAAAAATGACGCCTGCTTTTGAGCTGAGAGTCGGAAGATTGGTATCAGTTGAGATGAGAAGAGATAGAATCTGAGAGAGGGCATTTCAGATAGAGAGAACCACATGAACAAAGAGTTTGGGAGTTCCAGATAGGAAAAGCTCTGGGTAGACTCTAGGCTAGTAGTTAGCTCACTGTAACAGATAACCAAGAGGAACTTAGGCACTGCCCTCGCCATCCAGATTACATCACTGTGAACGCATTTAGATTGTAGTGGAACATCCTCACCTGTACGAGGGACTTTGTGCTCATCCTCAGCTTCCCTTCTCCCCAGCACGCGGCAATCCTAAAGCAGGTCCCAGTGTATTCTGCCTCTGCTTTTGAAATATGATTCTTTCTCAGATTTAATTTTAAGAATATTGGATCAATCCATTTTAATGACCTTCCCTATTCACTATTAAAATCTTTTTACATTTTTCTTATAATTTCTAATAGTGGGGAAATATGAGACAAATTTCCAGAAGAGTGATTTATTGAGCTTGAAGGGAGGAGAAACTGTATGAAAGAAAGGAGCCAGGAACAAGCTGAAATGTGACCGGACCAAGGAAGAAGGCTTATCAACTGGCTGAGGGGTTTGGGCTTCTATAAGCTGCGGGGACCACTAGTCATTATAGAGGTCATGTGATCCAAACTGAGCATTAGAAATAGGAATCTGGTCACAGAACACCAGAGACAGAAAACAGGAAGGAAAAAAAATTGTATATATGATGACATAAACATTTTAAATGTTTATATGGCAAAACAAAACAAAAAACCCTAACGTATACAAAATTGAAAGAGGAACAACTCAGAGAAATGTTTCTGCATTATACATGATGAGCAAAGAGTTAATACATTTAATATATAAAGAGCTCATATAAATCAATAAAGAAAAAGTCTGATAACCTACTAGAAAATACGTGTAAAGGCAAGTCACAAGAGAGGGAAAACAATATTCATTAAACCTATGAAAAATATACAGTATCATTAGTGATTAGAAAAATGCAAACTAATGCACAAGTATATTTGCCTTTAAGATTGGCAAATATGGGGGCACCTGGGTGGCTCAGTTGTTAAGCGTCTGCCTTTGGCTCAGGTCATGGTCCCAGGGTCCTGGGATGGAGCCCCCCACATCGGGCTCCCTGCATTGCGGGAAGTCTGCTTCTCCCTCTCCCGCTGCCCCTGCTTGTGTTCCCTCTCTCACTGTGTCTCTCTCTGTCAAATAAATAAATAAAATCTTAAAAAAAAAGATTGGCAAATATGAAAAAGACTAGTAATAACCTATTGTTATCTGTGAAAAAATTAATATGCAATAAGTAAATATGATCTCATTTTTTAATTTTAAAAAAGTTATGTGGGTTATATGCCTAGAAGGAGAAAAATACTTGGAATATATACCAATATGTTATCACTGCAGAGAGGCAAAATTACGATTTGGAGTTTTAGTTTCATTTTTATATATTTGTTTTAATCTTCTGGTTGTGATACATGAGCATGTGTTATTTTTATATCCAGGTGAAAAAAAAATTTTTGTTTTTATAAAAAGAAAATTCAGGTATAGTGGACCTAGACAGAGGACACAATTAGAGAATAACTGGAAGTCGGTAAAACTCGTCTAGATAAGAGGTACTGAGGACAGGGGAGGGGCACAGCCAACAGAAGACAGAGACTTTGCAGAAAGAAAATCAATGAAATTTGGTTGGATAGGAGTTGGAGGAGTTGAAGACAAGTGTAAGAACTGAAATCCGATTCAGAGGTGACAGAGCATAGGGGTTAAGTGTTCAGTTCTGGGGCTAGGCTGCCTCGATTCCAGTCCCAGCCTTGACTTTCAGTAATTATATAATCAGAAGCAACCTCTCTTGGGTGTCTGTTTGTCTGTAAAATTTGGGAAATAGTAGCATCTTCTTCATGGAACCGCTGTGAGGATTAAACCAGTTGTCTTATAGAAACTACTTAGAACGGTTTCTGCCACATGGCAAGCACTCAATAAACGATTATTGTTTTGTTGTTAAGAGGGACATCAGGAGAAAGAGTAGGCTTACGAGGTAAAACTGTTTAGTTTTTTTTTTTTTTTTAAGATTTATTTATTTGACAGAGAGACGCAGCGAGAGAGGGAACACAAGCAGGGGGAGTGGGGGAGGGAGAAGCAGGCTTCCCGCTGAGCAGGGAGCCCGATGCGGGGCTCCATCCCAGGACCTGGGATCATGACCTGAGCTGAAGGCAGACGCTTAATGACTGAGCGACCCAGGCGCCCCTTTTAAGTTTAGTTTTTGAGTGGGTGATTTTGAGCCTTTAGTACAGCCAGTCTGAGAAAACCAGTGATGGAACATGTGACCCTCCAGCGCGGGAGAGCAGAAGAGCATAGAGGAAAAAACTTAGGCTGCCTCATTCACACAGGTGCTGGATCTTGGAGGCTGGAAAAGGGTGAAGTCACCTGAGGAGAGAGTACATCATAGCGTGAGTGGAGAAAGGGATGGAGGGTGCCAGGATCCCTTTAGTCTTAGGGTCAGGAGGAAGAGGAGGAAGAACCAAAAAACAGATGAAAAAAGAAGAGTTAAAGAAAACAGAAAGGAAATGGAGGGGAGTACAATGTCTTCATGGAGGTAGAGAACAGGCAGAAATGAAGAAGCAGAATAGATAAAGAGAATTTCAGAGTTCCGTATTTTGTAAGTGGAGCCCATCCAAGGTCCTAAATGGGGGTACGGGAAGGTCTACGGGGGCATCAAGGAGACCAAAGACCTGTAACCCGAGGTGGGAAGAGTCATCGTACAGTGTTGAAGTCGCAGAGGATGGTGGTGAGAAGAGGGGAGGTTAACGGGTGGCCGAACTGGCAGTGTCCCCGAAACTTGGGACGCTTGTGTTGCCATGCTGGTATCTGAGGGACATCCTCCAATTCTCCAAAGAAAGGAAAAGTATTACTGAAGTTCAATAAAGTAGCTCTCTTCACCAGCCTTCACTTAATGAATTCAGGGGGTTGTCTGATGCTCTCCATTCCCCTTTTGAAAGCATGCCGACTGATGCTCTCAGTGTGCCTGACAACAAGGCTAGAAGGCCGCTTTCTGGAACACTCACCTACTCCCCTCAGTTACCTGACCCAGCGCTCATTTCCAAGTAGTTTAGGGACTCCAGCTATATATGGAGTTTATGGCAGTTTATGGCAGGCTTGTCCCCCATAAAATGGACCTGGAAAACATGGCTCCTTAATTTTAATAATTAATTTTCCCCCATAGACTGCTAATCATCAGTAGAATATGAGAAATACCTTTTTTTAAAATCTGAGACTTAGGTTTATTATATTATCTGATCTGCATAAATGGGACTTTGGTTAAAATCTAGCCTTCTCCCTCAGTCTCCTTTCATCTCCTCTGTTTACATCCTCCGGTTTCCTTCTCTTGAATCCTCCTTCACGATTCCAGATGCACTCTGGAGGCACGATCGTCAGCCATTTCCGTGGAGCCATTTTGTCTGACTCTGGATGTGGCTTTCTAATTGAAGTTGTTATCTCTCTGTACCACATTGCTCCTTGGATTTTGAAAGTGTTTGTAGATCGCAAGAGAATTTGTATTTGTTTAGATTTTCTGAAGTTTGGCGGAAACAGCATATTGAAACGTAACCGGTATCTACCCACATGTTCACTTTGTTTTCCTCTATCCTCACAAAATACTAAAAGTGATGTCTTCATGAGCAATTACAAGATGATGGAGAGAGAAGGAAGGATGTGTGTCCTCTGCACATTTTACAGTCCTTCATTTTCCTTAGATTGACCATGACCCTGTCTCTGACTTTGTAATGTTGGTTTAATTGTGATAAATAATAAAGACACAATACTTTATACAATAATCCATTGAAGGTTCACTTGTATTTTGCAAATAGGAAGAGCATGAGAAGATAGAAAATAATTTTTCTTCTCCATTACAGACTGCATTGTAATTCCTGTAGCATCCCAAAACTCTTTCTGGAAGCATTCAAAATGTTAAAGGCACTAAATACATAGCTCTTCCAAATACTGCTTAGATGGGTTCAGAAATTACCCTTGCCTGGTTGCCTACCTCCCAGCCATTAACATTCAGACTGCCCATGGCCTGACTTCTTTTCTGTCCCTGGGCCCTTAGGCTGGGTAGCCCTCAGACACTGGGGCTGAAGTCCATCACACATCTCCTGAAGTGAACCAGCTCCCTTCTTTATATGTACCAGGTCCAAATTATAGAATGAGTTGCACTGCAGAGGTCGAAGGTGAAAACTGGAACAGGCAAGAGAAAGAAAGCAGTGATAAGGATATTACGATTGGAACTTTGGAGAGGATGTGAGGAAAAAGGGAAGGAATGAATGAGAACTAGCCAGGTACCATCTCTGGCCTTTAGAATCCATTCATGTCTCCAACACCAAATGCCTTCTTTCCTCATCCTCCAACATCCCCCAAACCTTCCCTAAACTCATAGACATTGTAAATGGTGAACCATTTAAAAAATTGGACTATGTATGGCTTTTTTGCAAATTAGGGTTTTAGATTGCTCTTCCCTTGAATTAGGAGGCCCTTGTGGGTTTCTGACACATTTCCTCTAACCCCCTGCAGACTGGCCTTGATGTTATCTTATAGAGGCTCTGTTGCCTTCTAGTAAGTTCACTGAGCTGTGTGACTCCAGGAGGCACATGCCACAGACAACACAATGCCTTCAAGTTCTTGGGTGGTAACAACGTCTATGAGTTTAGGGAAGGTTTGGGGGATGTTGGAGGATGAGGAAAGAAGGCATTTGGCATGGAAGACATGAATGGATTTCTGAGGAGAATGGTGGTGAAGGAAATTGAAACACTCCATTTAGTTCAAGGATTAATCTTCCTTGAAGGATGCTAAATTCTGCCCTGAAAGAGTACTGATAGTCGCAAAATATTCTTAGACTTTTTTGGTTTTCCTTCATGACCATGGCTGAGCCGTGCCTAAATCAATAGAAGGGCTTCTTGCATAATTAAAAAAACCTCAAAATAACAAAATTTTCTGAGCCCTAACTCTGATGGGAAAATGAGTCTAGAAATGGGAAAGAGACTAGAAATTAAGAAAAAATCTTATAAAAGCAAAGCTTTGAATAAATGGAAGAATTGAACATATCCTCTCCTTTGACAACGCAGTGAATATTTTATCCTTGTCTGAAGTTCTTAAAACAGCAGTGACAGCAAGTCCCCCCATGTGACAAATTTCTCAGGCAGATAATGAAACTCAGTAGGATCCCTAGTCTCAACCTGAATATCCTGAGTTCTAACTAGTAAAGACTAAATAAAAAGTATTATCCTTTGACCTTCATTAGTTTCCAACGGCTTTTTGAAATAGCAAGTTCCTTTTATATCCAAACAATGTAAGCACAACTGTTCCAAAATGGCTCCATGATATTCTCAGTGCTTCCTGTCCCCACCTCCCCCACCTTCTGCCACTATATCCCTCAGGGGAAAAAAATCAGCTCAGGACTGGACTTGGTGATAGATGAACCCAGGCAAAGATAGATCTGATATAGCTGTCCTTTGTATTTTAATTTGGTTGTCTATTTGTCCCTTTACCAAAGGCACAAGCACTCCATGGGAGAAAAGGGTGTGGTGTTTGTACCCCTGAAATGGAACCAGCTTTGTAAACTGCACACCACAGAAACTGTTTACTTCTGCTTTGGCTCTCTGGCTGCAATTTAGGTAGTTACGACCAAGTTGGTGGTTATTCCCTGGTAAAGCCTTTAAGCTATTTTCTAGACGTGGTGCTTAGTGCTTAGCTAAATATTTATGAAGATATTATCTAAGCACTGAAATATTTATGGCTTTATATATATTTAACCAAATGCTAATTAGTTATGTTTTCGATTAAATTTAAGAGAAAATATTGGGGGAAAATTTAAAGAAATAGCACCACCTAGGGACAGGTTAATGTCAACTCGGCGATTTCTGTAATCGTGTCCCTATTCTCTTGATTGCTGCTCCTTTTCCTCTAAAAATACCTTCCATCTTCCTTTCTCAATCTTTTCTGACTCTGGTTATAATCATATTAGATGAGAAAAGATCCTATTTTCCCCCCATCTACCTGATGACTTTTCACTATAAAGATTCGATGCACTTACCGTTCTGATTAACTCTTTCCTTGGCAAAGATTGTGCACAACTCCTTTCTTCCTTTCTAAGGAATAGACTTACAGGATATAATAAAAATTCTTCTGTTAAACCCTTGCAGTTTTAGAAGCTATTCCAGCCCCCCTCAGTCTAAAGCAGTGGCTCCTAAACTTTAATGTGCTGTGCAAGTTAGAAATGGGGACCCCTTTATCCCAGTTCTGATTCAGTGGTCTGGGTTAGGGCACAGAACTCACATTTCTAACGAGAGCCCCAGGTGGTTTAGATGCAGTTAGTCCTTGGTTCACTCTGAGAAATACTTGTTCAAATGATTATTTGTTCCCATTGTGAAGTTTTTAAAACAGAGAGTCATTTTTTAAATGTATTTTTAGGTTGCTATGTTTTCCTTTTTTCAAAATTAAGATAGTTTCTTATTTGAATATAGTTGACATACAATGTTTTAGGTGTACAACGTATTAGTTTCAGGTGTACAATATAGTGATTCACTTTCTCTAGACGTTGTGCTGAGCTCACCGCAAGTGTAGCTCTCATCTGTCACTGTACAAAGCTCTTGCGGGATCATTGACTCTATTCCCTATGCTATGCCTTTTATTCCCTGACTGGAAGCTTGTGTCTCCGTCTCCCCTTCACCCATGTTGCCTATCTCCCTACCCCCTTTCCTCTGGCAACTATCAGTTTCTTCTCTGTATTTATGAATCTGTTTCTGTTTTTTGTTTTGTTTATTTGTTTTGTTTTTTAGATTCCACATATGCGTGAAATCATATGGTATTTGTCTTTCTCTGTCTGACTTATTTCACTTAGCATAATACCCTCCAGGTCCATCCATGTTGTCACAAATGGGAAGATCTCATCCTTTCTATGGCTGCATAATATTCCTCTGCGTGTGTATATGTGTGTGTGTGTGTGTGTGTGTGTACGTACGTACGCAATACATCTTCCATATCCATTCATCTGTCAGTGGACACATAGGTTGCTTCCACATCTCAGCTATTACAAGTAATGCTGCAGTAAATGTAGGGGTGCATATATGTTTTCGAATTCGTGTTTTCATTTTCTTTGGGTAGATACCCGGTAGTGGAATTACTAGATCATATGGTATTTCTGTTTTTAAGTTTTTGAGGAACCTCCATACTGTTTTCTATGGTGGCTGTACCAGTTTGCATTCCCACCAACAATGCATTTTAAAGCACAGGTATATGGGTTTCATTACAAAAATAAACTTGCATTTTTGAAATCTCATATTTAACCTTAGACTTTGGAAAATGTTTCTCCTGAGAGTTAGAAAAATAATAGCTACGTCTATTTCTTCCTTGTTTTTTTCCCTTTTATTAACAGTACCTCAGTGAAAGGATGCACTCTGTCTATGGGGGATACTTAATATTTTCTTTTGGGTATTACTATTTTTGGATGAAATTCTGTAAATGACTGTTTCTTAATAAATGTGTAGGACTTTAGTATTTGGTGTAATGATGATCAGTCTATAGATTCTATACATTTTTCATGTTTTGGCTTAATCTATATCGGAGGTTCCATTATTTATCTTTTAAATAATAAAGAGATGTATAAATTCAGCACATTCCCAGGGGATCATTAAAATGGCCATTTGCTAAACCATTGTATGTCTTAATCTTATGATTTCTAATGACTTAATTGAAGCAAGCGTTTCTGTTTTGGAACAACTGGAAGTGTCATTTTCTATGGAATCAGAATGCAGGGAGTGGTGGAATGCTTCAGGTCCATTTTGAGAGCTACAGTCATTCATAGCAGTTCAATCAACTTCAGGTCGGACAGGACCAAGCCAGTTAGCACATCATTTGTCTTCACTCGTGTACTTCAGACAAAAGTTGGAAAAAAAAAAATGCCTTGAAACCATCTTCATCAGTAAATCACAAGAGAGAAAAAAGCATTTTGGATGATTGCGTCAGTTTGAAACAGGGTAGTTTAAAAATTGTCAGTGTAACTAGAAATTTCACATTTCTTCTCTAAAATAATTTTCATTTCTCTAAGCTTCTTTACAATGGGATGTTAGGAAGTAACTTGAGATATTATATATGCTTTTCTTTTGCTTTCAAAATTATCTTTTACCTTTTGTAAGTTTTTATTACACTTTAAAAAAAATCTGAATTGACATTTTATTTTCAGGGCATTGACAGTAGTATCCATAGGGATGTTTCAGATTGACGTCACTGATCCATTGTTTCTCTCCCCCTCATTTTTTAGAGTAAAGATGGCAAAAGTCCACTGCACATGACAGCTGTCCATGGAAGGTTCACACGGTCACAAACCCTCATTCAGAATGGTAAGAGAGATCCTTCTGCTATGTTGTTATTTAGACAGTGTCCTGATCTGAGTGTGGCTGTCAGTTATCAGAACATGAAAGATGATGCACTGTTTTAGATGACAGTCTGTTTTATTAAGCTTAGATTTACACCATCCTTTGATGCACTTTGCTGAAAGCTCTTTTTCAGACATATCATCACCATCCAGCTTAGGAGCAAGAACATCAAGCCACTGTTCCTCAGTTAATTCCTACTCAGTCAAAGAACATATGATTTTGAAACTGGAAATGATGTACTTATATGGGCTCGAGGTCCTGCACTTTTCACTCTGAAACTAATACAAATAACTATCATACATTTTCTAGCAGCAAATTTGAATTATTTTTAAGCTTTAGAATTCACCATAGTTTCCTAAGTTAAAACTCCTTAAGCTACTTGGGCAAAGGTAGGAAAAACGAGGTGAGTCAGAGGAAAAGCTGTTAAGTGCATGTTATAAAAGATGATAAAGTCACAGGCTTGATAGAGACCTTGGAAAGTCACGTAATCTAGTAATTTTCCAGGCTCACAACAAAGGTATACTTGAACCACTGGGTTGTCTCTGTAGCCAAAGTACTAGGGAGTATCACTTCATATTACAGTTCCTAATGCTATTATGGGTCATGGCCAGCATCTGTGAGTGGATTGACCTTGACCACACAACTACTGCTTTCTTAGCAAATCTTAGAGACAATTAAAAAAAAAATAACAGGTTTAGTCCAGATTTTATGCTGACATTTCAAGTTCAACAATTCCTAAACGATCTTTAGTTGACCCACATTTGTACTTCTCAAAATTCTGGCATTAGTCAATTTCTTGGACCTGTCTTTTTCTCATGTATAAGAATTTTGGATGAATTTTTAGTGATACTATGTTATGTCCTCGGCACTCAAGTTGTAAAACCAAAAAGTTACTTGACATGTGGATGGAAGATCAGCCAGGGAAATTATGCTTAGGAAGCAAAATATCTGCAGCAGGGCAAAGGAAATTTATAAGCATTTCAATGTAACTATAGGGGACAATAAATCCTGACAAGTTTCCAATGAGCAAAGGAAGGTAAAATGAAAATTAACTGCACAACACGCATTAATTCTAATTTGAAATATGTGGAATGTCTTTGACATTCACTTTATTGAAGGGGACACTTTAATTGTTTTGTTTTGCTTGAAGTAAACAAAGGGAGATGGGGAGTGACCCTAGAGTGTCTCCTTCTCACACTTTCCTCATCCCATGTGTTTCTCAACTGCTTTTTTTTTTTTCCAGAAAGTGTCCACTGGCTGAAAAATAAATAAAACTAGGGAGATATTTGGTATCCATTTTTAAAAATTTAGTGTGAATGTAATCAGCGGGCCTTATCACTGATCAGAGAGAGAGCAAGTTTTCTCCTTGTAAGCACTGCCTTCCCATAGGTCTGCCCCTGTGGCCAGACCATCCCGGCCGTCTCCTTGGAATCAAGGCCATGACCCATCTCTCCATGTAATGCCAGTGTGCTGACAACAGTCTGGAGATGCTGCTGGCTGCTTTGACCTCTCCAAAAGCCATGTCTGTGGACCGGAAGGACTCCCATGCCCTCTTTGAACATAGCTGTAGACTTATGAGTTGGGATGAGATCTGAAAGAGAACCCATCTCTTGTCCTCAGTGATCAAGGAGCTTGTTTCAGAGCCTCATTTTTGGCTGAACTGGCATCTTGCTTGTGGCTCGGGTGGGGTCCAGGGGCCCAAAATGATGAGCTATAGTGGCTATAATATATAGCCCATTGTATGTAATGATAAAGCTAACATTGACTGAGTGTTCACCCTGTGCCAGGCATTTGGGTAAGCACTCCACATAAACCCATGAGAAAGAGGTGCTATTGTCATCTCCATTTCAAAGATGGGGAAACTGAGGCAGGGAGGTTGTCACTTCCATCAGGATACATGGCAGGTATGTTGAGGAACAGGGACTGAAACACAGCCAGTCTAACATCAGAGACTGAACTTTCAACCACTAAATTTACAAATGCATTCTCTGGATGAACAATGGCATGTTAAAAAAAATTTTTTTTCAAAAGATTTCATGTATTTATTGGTCAGAGAGAGAGAGAGAGAGCATGCACAAGCAGGGGGAGTGGCAGGGAGAGGGAGAAGCAGGCTCTCTGCTGAGCAGGGAGCTTGATGCGGGGCTCGATCCCAGGACCCTGGGATCATGACCTGAGCCGAAGGCAGACGCTTAACCGACTGAGCCACCCAGGCACCCCTAAAAAATGTTTTTATAACTTGAATTTTATTTACTTTAAGATTCACTTATATCTAGACTAGAGTCACCCCTGTAGAAGGATGATTTGGCATTCTCTTCTCTCAGCTGACAATTCTTTGCATTCATTACATGTGAGAACTGTGAGTTCTTCCATTTGACATTTTAAAAAATGCCCTTAGGGAGAAGAATAGGAAGCTCTTTTCTTTCCTCCTGTTTGTTGGCTTCCTTCTGGGAAAAATCCAGAGGCTCACATCCCCAGACCTGGTGTCTGTCCTCCAGAGTGGGTCACTGCACAACAGGACTCTGAACTCCAGTCCCACGTGGGGACATCGGTTGGCTCCCTAAACCAACAGAGCATGCTACTGAGGAACATTCTTTGTGTTTATTTGTTTTGTGAAATCACCCTGGTGTTTGGACTTTGTATGACATTTCTCTGCTTCCCTGACTGTTCTCTATTCAGGGTTATTCTTCATAATAACTTTTTCCAGAATCATTCAGCATTGGTAAGACAATTGCCAAAAAAGAACAAAAAAAGAAAGAAACAAAAAACCAAACACACACACACACCTCTTTTATTTTTGTAGATAGTGAGCAAAGACTGCCTCTGCTGTTCAGTCATGTTGTTTGTTGTCTGAAGCTGGGTTGTCGCAGCCAGAGAGGGAAAGAAGTGAATGAAGAAACAACGTGATGGCAGAAGGCATTTGATCAGCCATTTGCACTAGGCCACTGCCTCAGATGCTTGTCCGGCAGGTGACAAGAGTTCAAAAATGATGTTTTCTTCACAGAAGCTTTAAAAATAGTTTGAAAAGGAAGAGTCCAGTGGATGTCTCAGTTAGGATGATTCATTGTGAGATTTTTGACCTTTTGGCTCACGATACTTCCGAGGCAATTTAATAAGATGACCATTTTTGTTTGTGCAGGAAAAACTAACTTCAGATGAATGCTTAGATAATGCTGCATAAATTATCCCTTCTGACATGCTTTGCATACTTCTAAACTCATAAATGTTAATTTTCCTAATTGTCAATAATCAATTACCATCATTTGACTTGCAAGCTTCAAATGAGTAGTAAAGATACTTAATTTGCATGCCAGGCAAATCTTAAAGATTTTCAAGTGAAAATGGAAAGGTTTGGGGAATAACTATAAAATAGAAATTCATTCATCTAGAGGTTCTACTTATTTATTTATTTATTTTTTAAAAAGATTTTATTTATTTATTTGAGAGAGAATGAGAGACAGAGAGCATGAGAGGGAAGAGGGTCAGAGGGAGAAGCAGACTCCCTGCTGAGCAGGGAGCCAGATGTGGGACTCGATCCCAGGACTCCAGGATCATGACCTGAGCCGAAGGCAGTCACTTAACCAACTGAGCCACCCAGGCGCCCTAGAGGTTCTACTTTTTTAAAAAAGGATTTTATTTATTTATTTGACAGAGATATATAGAGAGAGCACAAGTAGGCAGAGTGGCAGGCAAAGGGAGAGGGAGACGCAGGCTCCCCACTGAGCAGAGAGCCCGACTTGGAGCACGTGGGGCTCGATCCCAGGACCGTGGGATCATGACCTGAGCCAAAGGCAGCCACTTAACCGACTGAGCCACCCAGGTGCCCTAGAGGTCCTACTTTAATATAAAACATATTTCTGAATAACAAATACAGTCTCTCTTTTATTTTTCCACTAGTTATGATGTTTTTCTGAAATATATTTTAAGTGACAACAAAAGCATATGTTGAAGATAATTAAGTATATTTTTACAGTTTTAAACTGACTTATGAGGGGCGCCTGGGTGGCTCAGTCAGTTCAGCATCTGACTCTTGATTTCGGCTCAGGTCGTGATCTCAGGGTGATGGGCTCAAGTCCCTGTTTCAGGGGAGTCCTGCATAGGCTCGGCACTGGGCATGGAGCCTGCTTAAGATTCTTTCTCTCCGTCCCTCTCCCCATTTGCATGCTCTCCCTCTTTCTCTCTCTCTCTAAAAACAAACAAATAAATAAATAAAATGTTAAACTGACTTATGAAATAGTAGTAACAACAAGAAGAAACTTTATCAGCTCAGCCCCTTACCCTTTCCAGCATTTTTCACTATTTTCTTTCCCTACCCAATTTTTGGCATATTTGGGGCTGAGAAACATGGAGGTTCTAACACTTAAGAAGGTTTGGTGCCCGTTGACTGGGAAGGACTTGGAGTGTTGCAGTGTTTGTCCAGGGCAGAGGTTTCCCTGGAGTCTGGGGATCTGCCTCCCACATCTCCCAGGATCAGTTCTGGTGGTGGACCATTTAGGCCAACCACTGTGGGCAGTTCGTAGACAGATACATGGACCTTGGATTGTTCTGCAGTATCCATGGAGACAGTGTTGCAAATAGTTTCACGTGTGTCAGTTTCTTTATTGTCAGGATGTGGGGGAAGTCTTTCTAACCTCAATGCAAAATCTAAATAGAATGATAGAAAAGGCATGAATTCCAAAAATAGGTTTTTTTCAGACTACAAGAACAAAGAAGAATGAAGATGTAGGGGGGAAATATTTGTAATATGTATTACTGATAAATGGTGAATCTCCTAAATATTTTAAGAGCCCTTGAAAATCAAGGAATAAAAGACCACACACACACACACAGAAAAGTGGTCATGAACGAATAGTTCATGGAAAAAGATAAACAAGTAATCCTTCAGTATTTAAAAGATGCTCAATTTCCTTAATATGAGAAATGCAAATGAAAACTATACTGAAATATTACTCTCACCTATCACATGACAGGTATTCAAAGGCTTGACTAGGCTATGAGGAAAACACACTTTCATACATTGCTCATGTGAGCAGCAAAATGGCATAGGACCTACAGGAGGAAATGTGGCAAAATTGAACAAAACCACATACTCATTTCTTTGACCTAGAAATCCCCTTTCTAGGAATTTACCCTGAAGATACACCCAACAGATAGGAAACAGTATATGCATGAGGTTATTCACTGCAGCATTCCTGATGATAGCAAAATTGTATTTACTACCTAAATGCTTATCCATACCAGAATGGTGTACTTAACTAGTATCTCCATGCAATGGAAAGCAATAAAGCTGTACAAAAATGAAGAAGACCTCCAAGAAGTGATTTTTAGGAGTGAATTCCAGGATATATTGTTAAATAAAAAAAGAAAAAGAAAGCAAGGTAGTCTGTGTGTTTATTTTTAAAATATTATTTATTTATTTGTCAGAGAGCATGCACAAGCAGGATGAGTGGCAGGCAGACGGAGAGGGAGAAGCAGGCTTCCCAATGAGCAGGGAGCCTGATGGGGGACTCGATCCCAGGACCCTGGGATCATGACCTGATCTGAAGGCAGACACTGAACCAACTGAGCCACCCAGGCATCCCACTGTGTGTTTATTTTTACAAAGAGAAACACAGAAAGCATATACCAAAACCAATGAATGTGATTACTATAGAATGTGGTTGAGAACGAAGTAGAAGGGATGGAAATGAGAATGAGCATTAAAAAAATATATATAATTTTGACTTCTGAGACATGTGAATGAATTTTTTACATATTAATAAAATAAAGCTAAAAGCTGGTAAAAAACTTGAAAACAAACAGAATCACATGAATCTCAACTATGTATCCAGTTAATAATACAAGCATACAGGATAAAGAATTCAGGTAACTCTTGAACAAAGTACTCCCTATTTATGCTAAAATCCTTGCTGGAAAATTTGTTGGGAAATAGGATATTTGCACAGCCTCAAAGTACCACCCACAAGTTGTTTGTTAATTACAAAAGGGGAAAGACATTTGCAATGGCAAGGGCTGGTGGGCATCACCTTAACCAAATAATCAAGCCCCTTTTCTTATTGTGGTAAAATATATATGACATAAAAAGTTACCGTTTTAACTGTATTTAAGTGTACAGTTCACTGGCACTAAGTACACTCTCATTTTATGTAAACAACACCACTGGTCAATTCTAGAACTTTTTCATCTTCCGAAACTGAAACTGTACACGTTGCAAGTTATCAAAATTGGCATCATCCGGTGGACCATCCTGACCTTATGTGTATTTTGTGGAGAAGCAGTGGGAAGTGCACATCAGCTCTGGGGTAGTCTTGCCAAAATGTTCTGAATCGAATAGAGTAAATAATCAGACAACTCTAGAATGCAGGACTTTCCACCCCACTCCTGGCTTGACCTCCAAAGATATCAATGACATGAGACATGGATGGATGGATAGATAGATAGATAGATAGATAGATAGATAGATAGAGAAAAGGCACGAAGATTATCTTAGATTAAAGGAAACTAAAGGGACATGACAAACCAAATGGTAGCAGAATCTTTTGTTGTGTCCCAGATTTAAAAAACTAACAGCCATGGTGCGTATTTTGGAGATAAATGGAGAAATTGGAATATGTTGTATATTACATAAAATTATGATATCAACATTAAATTTCTTTTTTTTTTAAGATTTTATTTATTTATTTGACAGAGAGAGAGACACAGCAAGAGAGGGAACACAAGCAGGGGGAGTGGGAGAGGGAGAAGCAGGCTTCCCGCCGAGCAGGGAGCCTGATGGGGGCTGGATCCCAGGACCCTGGGATCATGACCTGAGCCGAAGGCAGACGCTTAACGACTGAGCTACCCAGGCGCCCCTAAATTTCTTGAGTATACTAATAGAATTGTAGTTATGTGGGAGAATGTCTTTGTTCTTAGGGGTAAAATGTCATGATGTCTAACTTATTTTTAAATGGTTAAGTAGACCAGGGCGCATGCGTGGTTTGTTTGGTTAAGCATCTGTCTTTAGCCTACGTCATGATCCCAGGGTCCTGGGATCAAGTCTTGCATTGGGCTCCTTGCTCAGCAGGAAGCCTGCTTCTCCCTCTGCCTGCAGCTCCCCCTGCTTGTGCCCTCTCTCTCTCTGACAAATAAATAAAATCTTTTTAAAAGTGGTTAAATAGACCAACTGTATTTACTATATATTTATGAAAAGGGGAGAGAAAGAAAGAAATGTAGTAAAATAAAAAGGGAAAAAGAAGGCAAAATAAGACAAAATAAGATGAAAATACTATATAATTAAAAGGACTGTTGAATTAATATGGTAGTTTTTATAAATATAGATATTTCTAGTTCATAGTTATATGTTTACTCATTTTACTCATCATATTTTAAACCAAATAATCAAAGTACATTAAGTATTTTCTTGAACTTTCTATTCTCTTTGGTTCTGATGCTTTAGTATAAAGTTTATGTAGGTCTTTAATCAAGCAGGTGACATTAACATTGGGTGTATCTTCAGAATTACATTTCATGGGATTTGATAACTTTGTCCCTTCAGAGCAGGAATTGAGTTGTGAGATTTTAGATCCTTAAATAAGACAATATGGAAAGACTTCTCAAAAGCATTTCTAATAGACTTTGCTCTATGCAGGTTTACTACTACTACTTCAGATGGTGCCCTGTCCCCTGGAAAGGCATTCTTGTACTTGGATCAGAGATGTACAGAGAGGGGGAAGAACTCAGCATTCAGACAACATGAGAGACTGGCATAGAATGTAGTATCTGAATCCGCCGGAATCCTTATGTTATCCTGTATTAAAACATCTCTTTCAGGCGGTGAAATTGACTGTGTGGATAAGGATGGCAACACTCCTCTCCATGTGGCTGCAAGATATGGTCATGAGCTTTTGATTAACACCTTAATAACCAGCGGAGCTGACACAGCCAAGTAGGTTACTGCAAAAATACTGCCATGTAGTAGACAGTTTCCATTAATCTAGGTTAAGGTGGATCTGTACCGTTATGCTAAATACAAATTAAATTTGCACTAAATTAAGTGACTTTTAATGACAGATGCAAGGAAGAACCAATTTTATTTTCAGCTATATCAGAAGGAGGACTAGTCCAGTGGTTTTAATTAGGGAGACTTGAACTGTATTCCTAACTCTACTTTCTAATATTCTGTTCCTTCCAGTGTTTAGTATTGGTTAAGCAGGAAGAATAAGACATAATTGGACAAATTCAGAATTTATTCAGGGTGCTTGCTCAGTTTTGACGATAGAATTAGGGGGTACCTCTGAGTAAATCTACTGCATGGGGAAGGGGGACTGACTTCATGTTACACTTCAATTCCACAAGAATATAAGCATTTGAACAAGTCGGTCATAGTGCTGGGTGCTATGGGAAATTTCAGAAATAAGTCACCTGGTTGGTACCCTCACGGAGCTAATAATTTTGTTAGAGGCCCAAGGCCCTCTTGAGACAAAGAACCATGCAAGACAGTATATACTAAAATATAAAATAAATATGTAAATATCTATATAAATATAAATAAAATCCTAAATGAGGCAGGACTTAAGTGGCAAAGCGTTCAGGGTAGACAGTATATGCCATTGAGTGTAGACAGGTCGGAGAGAGCTCAAAGGTGGCCAGAGTTTCCAGAAAAGCCTTTAAGCAGAAGGTGAGTTTCAGGCAGGCTTTGAAGGATGACAATTACTTGAGTAGAGCAGGAATGCAGACATCCTGAGCAGGGAGGAAGGCAGGAACAGAGTTGAAAGAGTACAATTCCAGGACGCTCTGCCCTGAGGTAATATCATGGGTGGTTGGGAGCTCAGGCTTTCATGGGCACTACGTGGGCTCCAATCCAAGCTACCTTGCCTGTGAGCTGTGTGACCTTGAGCCTGTTGCTAAAGCTCTCTGTGCTTCGGTTTCCTCATTTCAAAAATGGGAGTAGTAACAGTACTTGCCCATAGGTGTGTTATGAGGATTAAAGGATTTAATTACTAGTAAAGCTCTCTGGTATAGGTAAAGATCGATGTATGAGTTATATAAATTATTGCCTAACATTATTAAACAAGATAACCCATGTTAACAGCTCTTTGAAGAATGCCTACCACAGAGGACGCTATCAACAACTATTATTTTATTACTTAATAATATGTAGTAGAACCAAATTCAAGAGAGCCATAAATAACTGAATAAAGAGTGTAGCTTTGATCACAGAGACCATGGGTAATAAAAACTAAGTTTTCAGGAGAACAATATAAGAGCACTGTAGCATTAGAAATTCTATTTTATTTGCCAAGGTTGTGCAACAGAATTGAAAATCTTGCTTGAGAATAAGCCAAAATTTAAATGGTCCGTGGAAGGCACTGGTGGGTTCCAGCAACCTTCTAGGGCCCCAATCTAGTGGCGGGAACAAGATCCAGAGCAGATGACTCAAGTATTGTGAGGTTTGTACCACACTATGGGAACATTCAGGGAGACACTGACTCTGCGGGTTTCACAAAAGAGGTGACATTTCAGCAAAAAGAAGGACGGGTAGGAGTTTGTCAGGTAAACAAAATTGTGTGAGGTAAAAAAGATAGAGGGAAAGCAAGGAAGGACATTCCAGGAAGAGAGAACAGTATTTACAAAGGCACAAACATGTGAATGTGTTGAAAGATTGCCAAGCGTGGATCATCTGATGTGTGTGGAGAAATGGAAAGAAATGAGGTGGGAAGGCAGGAGGAGCCACATCTTGAAGGACCTTGCATGTCCCGCTATGGAGTTGAATTCTGTTCTGAGGAATTTGGAAGCTGTTGAAGAATTATAAGTGGATGTAGGGAAGGTTGTGTCTCATGATCCCATTTGTGGGTGCGAAAGATCACTCTGATAATAGCCCACACGTGGGGGAGGTGGTCCAGACCAGGGACATGTGGTGGCCTCTTGGAAATGTCCAGGGAGGAGAAGATGAGGACTTGGGCTCAGGACCAGGCTGGGGGTGGAAAGAGAGGGTCACGCTGACAAACAGTAAGAGCAGTGGGCTGTCTCCTTTCAGAAGAAAGGAATCCACTTACAGTCAGCCTTTTTGACTGGGCTATTGCAAGTTAAAAGAAGCATCTCAGTCTTGTGGAAAGAGCACTGTCCTAAGTTTCAGGGAGCTCTTACTGGATTCTGAGTTCCCCACCAGATTATGGCTACTCAAAGCCAGAGATCATAAATGCTCCACGTTCGTTAAGCAGGAGTCAAATATCTAGGCACATCCACTTCACCTGTGATATGTTAATATTTTCAGTGGTAGTTTTCTTTCAACTCAGGGCCACTTGGGGAGTTTTAACCAAACAATCACGAATTTCTTTTTTTTTTTTTTTTAAGATTTTATTTATTTATTTGACAGAGAGATAGAGTGGCAGGCAGAGGGAGAGGGAGAAGCAGGCTCCCTGCTGAGCAGGAAGCCTGACGTGGGGCTCGATCCCAGGACTCTGGGATCATGACCTGAGCCAAAGGCAACCGCCCAACGGACTAAGCCACCCAGGCACCCCAAACAACCACGAATTTCTGATTTTCTTTCAGATTTGGATCCACTTGAGTGAGAAATGGGGCCCACTACTTACTTAAAATTTCCCCAAACACATTTGCTCAGTAAGCACAAGGTTCATTTCTTTGTAATTATTTTGCCTGCAGTTTATGCGAGCACACACCATGTGGCAAAAGTGCCTTAGAGATGGCATTGTTGTTCAAGTAGCCTTTCCTTCCACTGCCTGTGCTGTGTCCTGGGGATGCCACGAGGCAAACATTGTCCCAGCCTCAAGGAGCCACATCTGGTTATGTCACAGCGTATCTGGGGATAAGAACGCTCCCTGCAGTAAACAGTGGTTCATTAGGCCGCACTCGCGCATCCGCGCGCACGTGTGTGTGTGTGTGTGTGTGGTGCATGGGGAGGGAAATCACCTGACGGGAAATGTCAAGATGGGGGAAGGAAAGTTGGAGAAGATTAACTTTGCTAAGATCCCTCAGAAAATCACTGTTCTCTGGGGTCCTTGTAGATCTATGTGGAGTAGCTTATTAAAAAGGAGAAAAGTAGGACTTTTCCCTCTATTAATAAGTAAACAAATAGCATTTATGAAAATAACCCGTCCTCATTCATTAACAATATGACCAAACATATTTTAAAAGATCTCTATATGGTAAGTGTTATGGTCATTACTTTCTTATGAATTTGTTTGAATCTCATTCTCAGGCCCAATGAAATGTTTTTGATATTCTTCTTTCTTCTCTGGGCTTCAAGTCAGAGCACTTTCTGCAACTTGACTCAGTGCTCATGCAACTTTATGTGGTGCCAAAGTCCTCTGGTTTTTCTTCTTTAACTTTTTTTAAGTTTGAGCCACTTGTCTCTGGGATTTTAATTTGTCTTCTACCTTACTGATTCTGCCTCAACTGCAGCAAAATTAGGGGTATTATAGTTATGCAGGTAACTAGTTCTGCCATCTGTTCATTCACTAAATGTTTGCTGAAGGTCTGTGAAGTCTCACCCGCTGCGTCAGCTTCTGGGGTTGCAGGAATCCCTGCCCTCAAGGAATTTATAATTCATTGGGGGCAAGAATTAAACAAGCAGTTATAATCATGCATGCAAAGTGTGATGCAAGAATCACTGGGTGCTACTGGATACAGAACGTATGTTGGACATAGCAGGGCTGGGGTGGGGAGGGGGCTTCCGGGAAGAGCAGTGCTTAATGGAGACTGCAGGGTTAATAGCAATTAGTTAGGTTGTGGTACTGAGAGACCTGCAGATCGATCTCCAGGTATGGACTTAAGTTATTTTTATTATAGTGTTACTTGAATATGTATAAATGTCAAACTCGATAGAGACTCCTTAGGGTTTGCTTCTCCTATATCAGTAAGTCAAAAAAAAAAATTACAGCATACATGCAAACAGCACTGAGTTTTCACAGGTTAACAGTAGCAGCAAACATTTATGAGTGCTTACTTGTGCTAGGCACTAACTCTCAGGAATTATATTTAATTGTCACAGCAACCCCGTGGGTAAGTGACATGATGATCGCCATCTTATAAATGAAGTAAATGAGGCACAGAGAAGTTCGCTTACTTGCCTGAGGTCACAGAGCTTGTGAGGGGGTGGAAATGAGACTCTATCCTCGGCCATCTGGATCTGGAGGCGAGGCTCCTCAGCGAGAGGCTTGTTGCCTCTCTATGTAGTGGATGGTGCGATAGCGCACCATTTGCCAAAACTAAATCACCATTTTCATGGGGTTATTGTCCTGGTGGCCGAGGTGCTGTCTTGTTAGAGGTCAGTACATGCTGCAGGACTAGAAGTTTTGCAGTGGCTTTGACACAATAGAGGGCCAGTGGGCTTGTCACAGAGTACAAACGCCAACTACTGCCAAATTCGGTGCATCTAGAAGGCTAAGCATACTGCATTGTCACTGGCCCTTCCCAGCTTCAGGCATCATTTGTCTGTTACGTCCACTTTTTTTGTGTTCTTATTGGCCCCTGCCAATTTACAAGTAGTTCCTCATGACACCAGTGTGATCCCAAGTACAGACACGGGCGCTGACATACGGCAGAGGTCTGTCATGAGAAGGTGGTTGTTGAGATGAGCCAGAATATGCTTTTATACTACTTGCTTTAGGATATCATCAAAAGGAAAAGACAGTTTAGAAATTCCCACAGAGAACTCTTGAAAGCCCGAAGGTATTTCCAGTGGCCCCCAGAGATGCACTAACTAGTGTGAGAAAGGCTATGAAAAGCTGGGCACAAAAATGAGTTTCTTGTGCCAAACAAAGCCTGGGGCAGGATAGAGCCTTGGCTTCTCCAGGAGGAAGGGGCAGAAGTCCACTGAGTCTAGAATACTGGTTGATTAAGCAACAGCTAGATCCAGAAGTGGCTTGTTAAGCCACATTGGAGTGTTTGGTCTTGACTCAAAAGAAACCACTGAAAGTGTCAGTAGGTTGCAAACAGCAAGGACCAGCCTCATTGTTGTCAGTTATACCCAAATGCCTCTAACTTAGGGGTGTGTGATAAATACTCAGAATGACATAGATAATAGGAAACTGATCTTTTGATTTGGGTTGATCAGTCAAGTAAGAATCATAAAATCATTTGATGATCAAAAATCATCAAATGTTTTTATCTCACCTGCTAAGTGGACAAAACTAAACCAATCCACTTTCCCTAGGAGACTTGTGAGATAAGCACAATAAAGAATTTTGAAATGTAAAAAGATAGAAATGCTAGCAGATCACAATTTATTCTTGGCTTTTTAAGAATCACAAACCTGATTTTAAGGAATCACAGCCTGATTACAACTTCAAAACTTACAGACTGCTGATTATGCAACTAAGCTAATAATAATTTCAAGGGCAGTACTAATACTAACTTGTATGGTAAAGGCTTATCATGGTCCAGACCTTCTGTTAGCACCTGGGTGCATTATTAATTAGTTCTTACCATTGCCCTGTAAGATGACACTGTTTTGATCTTTATTTTCTGGATTGAGGGAACCATTACATACTTGCCAAAGATCAAATAGCTAGCAAGTGTCAAAATTAGGACTCAAACCCAAGATTTCTGACCCCATCACCTTAACTACAGTGTTTTTTTAGCATACAGCCTGAGGGAAGGCTCTAGAAAGCACTGGAGGTGGGAAGGAACAGCCCTCTCTGATGCCAAGGGGAAAGCTTAAAAGAACTGATGTTCTAATAGTGCACAAGCCCTTTCCTTACCTCTGATAGCTGTCTACAATTTATTCTGACCTCATTCATTCTGAAATAACTGAGTAGGAGATGCCAGCTAACAGCTAAATTAGAAATAGCTAATACAAATGTGTCCCATTAATTTTATGACTGGTCAAATGTAGCATTTTAGCTGGAATTGGTCTCCTCTTTCCTGTAATTTATGCATTGTTAAGTTTAGTGTTATCTGACGTCTTTATTTCTTGATCTTCTTTGATGTATAAAATAAGATAAAATAAGAGTGATGCTTCTTATTTGCCTAAGACAGCCAAATCCTAATTTTCCTGCTAAAGGTTTTATGACTCTTCCTTTATACGCAGTCTTACTTTATAACAATAAAGGAGTAATTTTATTTTGAAATGCGTGAATCATTTCTGAAGTGATTCAGAGATTCTGAATTTGACTTTTATTTTCTTTCCAGTCTTGGCCTGATTGAACCATAGTATCATATTCAAGTTCAAATGCCAGTGGTACTTGAGTCTAAATTAATATGTTTTCAAACCTACATGGAGGTGGTGATTTTTTATTAACTATGGAATAAAATATATATATCAAACAGAATTTTTGCTAGACCTTTTAGAATAGTTTTACCCCCTTCTCAAGTTTATAAGTAATAGAAACAAAAGAGAGAATTAGCTAATGTAGAGTATGATGAATTACCTGAATATAATGATGTTAAGTGGCAAAGTTGATTAGAAATATTAATAATGAAGTTTATGGAATATGTTACAATGCTGTTGCTGTTATACTGTCACTTACACTTTTTATGTTTTTCCTAATTGATTTCTTATAGAATTTGATACTATTTTCTCTAATTCATTTGCTTGTATTACTGTATATAAAGATACGTATTTTTGTATCTTTATAAAATATATCATTAAATTGTGTATATATGCATACATGCATGTATATGCATGTGCATATAATATGTATGTAATACATAACATTTTAATATGTCTCATATATTATGTATTTGTACACATATATATTTCTATTAAAGTTATATTTAAAGAATGGGGAAGGCTCAAAGAAATCTTGGGAAATCCAACCCAATTCCAGGCACATTCTTTCAGAAACTTAAAACCATCCTAGAAAATATTGTTTTTCTCTTGCAAATGTCCAGAGATACTAATATAATCACATTTTTGCCTTACTTGCCCTTAACAAATAAAGTGGTTAGGTACAGTCTCATTGGCTTAAAATTCCATTTAGTAAGGTGTTTTTAAAACATGTTATACATGTTAAAAAATCACGGCATCAAGAGGACAATATAAAGAGCAGCACAGATAGAAAAGCTTCTCTCCCATCCCCCAATGCCCAATTCCTTTCCGTGAGCATCAAGGTTGTCACTGGTACAATTGCTTTTCAGAATTTTTTTTGTAAATGATGAGAGAGGCAATTACAAGCAGTTCTCCTCTGCATGACACTGCCCGGAAGACAAGCAAATTGCATCTCTTGATGGATGCCAGCTATTATATACAGTGGGTTGGAAATCTCCATATAGGGAAAGGAAAACGAACAGAGGGGAGACTGAACAAAAACACTAATACACAGAAGTTTTCACAGAAAGAGAGAGGTAGTTAATTGTTGGCCGACTCAGATTTGGCAGAACGCTGAATACCATGAAATAGCTGTGAATGTGTATATACTTTCACACATTCACACACATCATAATAACTTTTGAGATAGCAAATAAAAGTCAGGTATCTGAAACCTAACCAACTCAAACCATATGTGTTTCTTAATGAGTTATAGAATCTGAAAACAGGCAACGTTGTGCCAGGGAAGAAACTTGGGTCATTAATGCTGCAGGTGTAAATACATGTACTTACTTGTGTTGTGCAGAGGATTTGCAGAATTTGAAATACGTTATTTGACTGTGGTGAGATATTCTGAGAAATGAGCACTAACATTATAAATTCTTCTAAGAACACCGGAACCTCTCGATGACGCTGTTTGTTAGGAACCACAGTTCAGCACACGGCTTTGGGTCCTTGTGTGAGGAGAGGTGATGGGCAAGAGGAATGTTTGATTTTAAAGGAAAAAGCACAGCTGTTAGAAGGGACACTGCCTGTCCCTTAAGGGATCATCCTGGGGACTGTGTTATGATGGGGTATCAGTCTAAAAAGTCCTTTTCTAGACTCTTTCTGTAATACTGTTAGGGAAAGTATGCTAGATTTATGAAACGTACGCAAGATAATGTGTGTTGCTCCAGCACATTTTCGTGACTGGTGTCCTGAGGTGGGTTAATAGGCAGTATGAAAGTCTGTTAGGAAGATGAAGTTGTACCCGCAAAAGGTAAACATTGGTTTTTAGTCGCATGCAACTTTTTTTTTTCAATAATACAGCCATTATTAACTCTTAGCAAAGTACTTGGCACATAATAGGTCAATAGTATTTCTTTATCAATTCAAGGAATCGAACAGGTCGCTGAATAAAACAGGTTGCTGACATAAAACTACTCAGCTGAAAGAAAAAACGGTAAATTAATCTTAAATGTAGAGTCACCTTTATAGGAAACATTATCTTAAAAAGATACATTCCTGTTGTTAGGGGTTTTTAATTCTGGTCTAGGTAGGATTTTATTATGTTAAGGTCGAAAATGATTGTATAATAATTTCCTGAGTGGAGGAATTATAAAATTATTTCAGGCAAGGGTCCTGAAGCAAGGTGTTGTGGATTTAATTTTCATCAGAGAACTTCCAGAAACGTTGTCCTTCTGCATGTATCTTGAGATCTCTTACTGTGAGCCGCTCTGTTTTTTTCCTCCTCAGGTGTGGAATCCATAGCATGTTCCCCCTACATTTAGCTGCCCTAAATGCTCACTCTGACTGCTGCAGAAAACTCTTATCGTCGGGTAAGTAACCCCATTAGCATAGATGAGGCTTAATGTGTCCTGTAAGTGAGCCACATGGCTCTAGGTGTCTGGTCAGAGTAAGTGGCTACCTGTGCTTCCTGTCATTCATTACCTGATCTGGGGACAGCTCCCAGCAGTGCTTGGTGTTGTTGCTGTTTGAGTGTCAGTATTCCTGCCCGGAGATGAGAGTCTTGTCTGTTTTTCAAGTTAAAGCTTGGGTGAGCCAGAGTGAGAGACAGGCAAGGGGGTGGCCATAGCTTACCGGAAGTTTGTCGGAATCAGGGAAAATATCTTTGAGGCTTAAAAGGGTGGATTTAACAGTTAATATTTTCAACAAAGGAAAAAAGGCCAAAGCCCCCACATTTTGACAGTAGAAATGTCACGTTACCTTCCTCCTCTGTGGGCTCTGATAAATCCCTATAGTGTGATCCCCTCCAACTAGGTTTAATTTTTATTTTTTAAATGTGGGTCTGTTTGGAACCAAGAAATTCTTCCTGGTTTGGAGCTTTGCTAATCTTTCTTATCACTGCTTCTGCCAACCTCCATGTATTAAGAAGTTCCTGGCTTTCAAAGGTGATAGAGGTCTGCAAGGCAAAGATTGTTTATGAATTAATTCAACAGACATCCCAGAGGCATTTTTTTTTTTCCTTTTAAGTGCTTTACCTGTGGTTGATTCTGCCTTCACTGCTTTTGGCATGTTTAAAAATAATCCCTGCATGAAAGCATGTTTCCTGAATCTTAAACCAGCTGAAAGCTAATAATACACATAAGAAAATATCTACTCCAGCATGCTAAGATCACTCCTTTGCTGTCCATGTTTTCTCCATGTGTTCTGTCTGCCTGTCTATTGCCCTACTTATCTCAAATTGGTTTCATAAATTTCTATCCTGGGATTGAAATATGGGGCTGTGGTTCACCCAGGGCTGAATGTGAAAATAAATTCTTCTAGACTTCATGGTTCTTCCTATAAAATTGCCAAGCTTGAGCAGTTACCATTCGTTTCCATGACAACCTCTTTCTGACTACAATTGCTTGCGTTCTGGTTTTTCTACTAACTGATTTTTCTGTCTCTGCAATGTTTCTTGTGGTTTAACTAGGACAAAAGTATAGCATAGTATCCTTGTTTAGTAATGAGCACGTGCTGTCTGCAGGCTTTGAAATAGACACCCCAGATAAATTTGGAAGAACGTGCCTTCATGCTGCTGCTGCAGGAGGGTGAGTAGTTAGCAATTTCAGTTCTTGTTTCATGACTTAACTCCTAATTTCTCTTACTTGGCTTAAGTTGTCTGTGAATCAAAAGCAATTTCCTTAGTAAGATGGGTAAGAATCATTTCTACCAATACCAAATACACTTTTGCATTTCCATATTAATTGTATGTTTGTTCTTCCTAAGAAAAAATTTTAGCCCATCTCATATAGAAAATAGTTTTCTTTTCTCTCTCTCCCTTTTTTTTTTTTAATTTTAGGTCTTCAGCCTATAGAATATGTATCTACTTGATATGCACTCTACCAAAAGAAAATAATTTGAGATTTGTTCCTAAGTTTTTCCTTTTTTGTCACTGGTAGGTGGAAGATGATCAAGGAAATCCAAGATTGAGTTAGTTCATGTTTATTTACAGCTATTTTTGTCCTTATTTCAAAACTGATTTTTTTTAAAGATTTTATTTATTTATTTGAGAGAGAGAATGAGAGATAGCACGAGAGGGAAGAGGGTCAGAGGGAGAAGCAGACTCCCTGCTGAGCAGGGAGCCCGATGCGGGACTCGATCCTGGGACTCCAGGATCATGACCTGAGCCGAAGGCAGTCGCTTAACCAACTCAGTCACCCAGGCACCCAAAACTGATTTTTAAGTACGTAAATGGTTAAAGGTGATTAAAGGTCAAGAAAACCCAAGGGGTTGTTAAGAAGCGATTTAATCCTTGCCTTTTTGTTTCAAGTTATAAAGAGCATTTTTCATCTGATACTCTTTTTCATATCAGTGGTGAGAGTAAGGCTCTGATCAATATGTTGTTGATATGTGACCCGACATTGACCAAACATGGCCTCTCTCGGATGACCTTGTTTGGGTAAGGTGTTAGTTCTTAATCAGTTTGCTAGTCCTCAGGGAAGAGCAATGCTTCTCCATTTGTCATCTGTACATTATCAAAGGCATTACCTCTTTATCAGAGGTGGGTTGACTGTGAAGCTTTAGGGCCCTTCTTTGCATGGGTCCCTTCCGAAATCTTGTATTTAGTTTTATATTCATAATTGTGTGTTTTTTTTTAAACGAATCTCCTTCTCCCCAACCCCTCTCTCCAAATCGAATGAGCTTCATAAGACACACATCTGGATCTGCCTCTGCCTTTAATCCTTTGGTTTTATTCAGTAAGAGACAGGTGCTTTTATATCAACTAGCGTGTGACACCAACACATAATGGTCTCAGAAAGTTCTTATATTTTCTGACTGAAACAGTGGGTTCTCTGAGAAAGGTGGCTACAAAGAGTGGATAGGGGTAGGGGAGAGCCCTGCTCGGGTTCCTCATTAATGAGATCATTTTTCATATTTAAATGATAATAAAACAATAAATCCTAGACTACTTCTCAGCACTCCAAGTTTAGAACAATAATGGATGATTGTCTCTTTGTATGCCGACATTTAAAAAAAGTATCAGACCTTGGCAACACACCATTCTGGATTCATATCTGAAACTCCTATTACAATTAATATTTAGCGACATGCCTTTCAATAGGAAAATTCACTTCAGTGGGTCCTTTTTCTCTACTAAACGTGATTTATTGCTTCTGCGAATGACAAAGAAGCTTTGGAAGATCACTATGCTCCATTACATCATTTCTGGCCTTTTATTTTTTGTACATTTATTTACCTGTATTACAAAGACAGGGAAATGCAGCTGTTTTATTTCCCATTTTGGAGAGTCTGGGTTGAAAATGGTTATCACGGTGAATTCATCCTCCTGTGATAAAAGGTAATGCTTCTCCATTCTGGCTCATTGTTTAGAGGTGATGTGAAATCATCATAGGTCTAAGGGGTTGTTTCCCAAACTCTTGATGGTTTTAAAAGAGAATCTTGGGATACATGATGAAACCATCACTAAAAGGTTTAACCGTGTAATAATCATTAAATACCTTTGTCATGGAATTGAAAATGTTCCATCAAGCTCTTTGATGCATTGATTTATTAGCTTGGAAAAGGGAATTTCAGGAACCTTAGATCCTTGCAATACCGTATTCCTCTAAGATGTTCAGGTTGGTTTTGCGTTAGCAGAATTTAAAGCTGGAGCTATCATTTCATCTTGGCCTGCACTTCGCCAAAAACAGCTCTTTCTGAAGATAGCCCAGCAATTGACCTCTACCATCTTAATGATGTTTTTTTCCCTGTCTTTCTAGTAATGTGGAATGTATAAAACTCTTGCAGAGCAGCGGAGCAGATTTCCACAAAAAGGACAAGTGTGGGAGGTATGTAAACAGGGAATTCTGCTTCAAGTGCCTCAGTAACAGGGATGGGGAACAGTCCATCTGGAAATCATATTATAGTGAAATGGTGAACAGGGAAGCTAGCTGGGGAGATTCCATCCTCAGAAGGAAATCCCTTTTTGTAGCGAAACACCAACAAAGCAGGCACAGGCCCCAAGACAAGCATCTCCTCTCATGGCTTCTGTTACAAGGGCCAGCTGTGTCTTGCCTTCTTCCAGTTTTGTTCCCATAGCATCTCTCTACCCCTCCCCTCCACGTGTACCCTGGCTCTTGGAGTTGCGACAGGTTTCTTCTCTTAGCAACCTACCTAGGCTAACGCCTACTCACCCTTCCAGATTTATATCAAATAACCCCTCCCACCCCCACTGCACGGGTGCCCCTCCTCTCTGCTCCCTTGGGACCCTCCCTACTCCACAACTGGAGCACACGTCACACTGTTCTAGTGGGCCAGTAAAAGAGCCCATACATTGACTGTAAAATATAAAAGAGTGACCTTGAAAATTAATAAATAGTTGGTGAGATAAAGTTGTTTTATTTCTACTATTCCATTTGATTATTATTCCCTAACTGTTGGCTAGGGAAGTCATGTTTCTGCAGTGCCTTACTCTTGGCAAGGTGCATGTATTTCCTATACGTTACCCACTTGGTTTTTCATAATAACTCTATGAGATAAATGGGGATGCTTCCTATCCTTTTTAATAGATGAAGAAACTGATCTTAGAGAAACTAAATGAGTTATACCTGTAATAAATTTATGTGTACATGTAAAATTCCAGAAATTTTAGATCTAGAGTAGATGTTAGGGGGTAGCTGCTCATGGGTCATTATTGAAGAAAGGATGAGGAAGCCCAGGCCCAGAGAGGGGATGTGACTTGATGCAGCTTACAGATCTGCCTGGACTAGAACCCAGGGCTTCTGATTCCTTGGATATTGTTCTTCCCTCTAATCTGTATCCCTACCCCCAAGATACTTGTAGTTCAATGGAGAAGATGAGACAATACCAAGAGCTAAAGGCAAGGCAATATGAGATGAGAGCTCAAGAGAGACCCAGACAGGAGCTGTACAATCTCAGACAAAAGGGAAAGAGAACTTCTGGAACTTAAGAAGCTTTGGGGTTTTGATGGGTAGAAGTGGTTCAGGAGAGGACATTCCAGGGAAGAAAACAACATGGGGATAGGTAGGGGAGATGTAGACATGACTGGGGAGACCTCAGGTGATCCCGTTTGGATGCAGTGATGGGTTCATATAGGGGGGATAGAGAAACTTTATGAAGGTCGTTTGGGCTCAACTTAGAAAGGTCTTTGATTCCAGACTAAGGAATCAAGACTTTGCTCAGTAGAGAGGACTAATGGTTTTAGAACAGAATGTCCTGTGTGGGTATCAGACCTTAGAAAATCCAGTTCTTCACTCATACCAACTAGAAATTAGATGGAAGTTTGATTAGAGCTAAGGAGGCCAATAGGGATGGTATTGCAATAGTCCAAAAGAGCTAATGTAGACCTGCACCAGGATAGGCACTACTAATGGAAAGAAAAGATAGATCCCAAGTAGGTGGCCTCAGCTGAAGCCACTGTCTTTGTGGCCTCAGCTCCAAGTTATAAAGTCAAAGGAAGGCATGTCCCTTGGCTTCCACACTCTGAGAGCTAAAGAGCTTTCCCCACTCCTAGGAGTACTGCTGTCAGTGCTAATGCTGATGATGGCGGCAGGGGGTGGGGTGGGGGTGGTGTCTGTTTTTCAGATGAATGAAGTAATAAATTGCTGTCTGTTTTTCAGGACGCCTTTGCACTATGCAGCTGCAAATTGTCATTTCCACTGTATTGAGACATTAGTGACCACAGGGGCCAACGTTAATGAAACAGATGACTGGGGACGCACAGCTTTGCACTATGCTGCTGCATCAGACATGGATAGAAAGTAAAAACAGCCTTGCTCAAATTTCCTTTGGGGGTATGACTGGGGAGGGGGAGGGTTTGCTAAGTTTTCTTCATGCTGCCTCCTTGAAGCTGTGAATGAAGAATCTCTCTCATCCAGACCCAGAGGAGTTAGAATTGCCTCATCCCTAACCCTGGTTTTCCCATTCTGCTCTCTTTATGTTTGATTATTACGTGTCACTGCCCCATTGTTTCTCTTCTCCGGTCTTTGGGTTGAATGCTAAGTGGGGCTGTCAAGCTCAGGTTTTCAATTCATTCAAAATCGCTTGTAATTTATTTTGTCATATCCTACAGTTTTCATCATCACCACTTAAATGCTTCATTTGCCCTCAAACTTACATTTGCTAATAAATTCGTTACATGGCAGAAGTATCCATCTATGTATAATCCCAGTAGCCTTCAAATGCAGTGTCAGTGTGTGCAAAATTGGCACTGTTGTTCCAAACTGGGCATGAATGCTCTTTCAGGAGCTGAAGGGGAGGAAGTTGGATGCCCTGGAAATGTTTGGATTCTCGGTGCCTAGGAATAGAAAGCAGAAATAAATGAACCAGTTCCGGTGGGAAAAGAGGGAGAGGTGCCTGCCTACAGCTTATGAGATTGTTCTCAAAGACTCGAGGACCGAAGCTTCCTTCATAGGAATGCTTTTTGGTGACCCTGTTTGGAGAACTATTGACTTACTTGCTGTGCTGTGCTATGGAATTGATTCTGGGTCAGCGCTAAATTCTTTTCTTATACAGCATTGGCTTTCACATATTTTACAATGACCCACAGTAAGAAATACATTTTACATCATGACCCAGCATACACACTCAAATAGGTATGTTTTAAATATATATGTAAAAAGGCAGCAAAAATTTTGTAAGACCATATTTACCTTTAGTGTGTGTGATGCATTCTGATATTTTCTCTATTATTTTGTTTTAAAAAAAAGGCAACGAAATACTGCAACCCACTAAGTTGATTTCACAATTCCATAATGGATTATGATCCGTATTTCCAGTTTGGAAAACACTGTTCATATTATATGATATTGGCAAGTCTGATGTAGCTGCACTCAGAATCTCATAGGCACATCTTTTTAGGGGAGATCTCCTTCCAGTTGCCCTCACTCAGAGGAAACGACATTTATTAGTTATTAATTCAACAAATGTTTATTGAGCATCTACTCCGTAGCAGGGTCTATGCTGTTTACTTAGAATAGAATGGAGGGACAAGTATACTTCATGTGTTAAGAGCTATAAAAAGGAATCCTAGGTGATGAAGACTTGCTCTGGCAGTTGAGGGGTGACTAGAACCCCATTCCTGGATAAATGAGATGCTAAACTTATAAGGAGGCAGCAAGGAATGTGGTAGGACTCAGCGAAGTTTAAGCTCCATTGCTTCCTATTTACTTGGGGAGTTTAGGATATTTATGGAAGGGTGGGCAACTTGGTGTCTTACTCTCTGATACCCAGGTGGAAGTTCTAGGAAAGGCATGCTCTCAATTGGGTTCTGTGGAAGAGAACAGATTTACTGGATGGCCTTTCAGAGAACCACGTATGTCCTCAATGAAAAAAATCAGTAGTGCTTATGTCTTTTGGGTTGCGGGAAAAGTCGTTGAGATATAAGCTGTATCAAAATCATTAGCAACTTTGCCATGAAAGCAAATAATTGTAATTTTTTTTTCTTTCCCCTATGCTGAGAAGTAAGACTATCTTAGGAAATGCCCATGAAAATTCAGAAGAACTTGAAAGAGCCAGAGAGCTGAAGGAAAAGGAAGCTGCATTGTAAGTTTCTGCTCAGCTGAAAGCACAAGAGGTGGTTACTGATGCTGGTCTGCTCTTTTGGGTTGCCACATAGGCCAGTCTTACTATTTTGGGGCTTTATTTGGGATCTTGAGGAAGTGATATGGGCTTGCCTTTAGTGAAGAAGAAATGATTCTTTTAATATATCCTTCAGTTATGCTATTTTCACACAAGGAACTCTTCCTAAAATTGGAACCTTTACTGAGACCGTCACTGTGATGGGTCAGCAGTTTCTAGGAGTAGGTGTCTTAAATATCATTTTTGACTCTGCCATATATTATTATATGCCTCAGGGGACATATTAAGCCTCCTCCCGGGGCCTTAGGCTGTCCTTTAATGACTTGGGGGGTAACTATTTAGCAGGTTCTAGAAATAAATGTTTTGAGAATCCAGTGTGAAATACACTGGTGGTGCTCTCCCCTCCCTCCCCAGCACACACATACCAGCTCACAAACAGCCCCCTGCTCCTGCCAACAGCTGCCCCCTGCCCCGCCTCATCCCACCGGCCTCTCTCTGGCTTCTGATAGAGACTCAGCCCGGACTGTGACAAGAGCTGGGAGTCACTGCCATCACCCAGGGGTGCTGATGCGCAGGAAGCTCTAATGCTTTGTCCGACAGTCCTCCGTGTGCGACAAGGCACCATGCGAAGGTCATGCTCTGCCCAGAGCAGTGCCCAGTATGTCGCGGGGAGTTCAGTAACTGTTAAATAAATGAGCAAATGAATGAGTGCTGCCCACACTCTGTGTCCTGCTCTGTGAGACCTAGGGGGTGGAGTGCTCTAGGAGTCTGCACACACAGAGTTCTTAGCGTGTTTATTCTCTTCTCCAGCTGTCAGAGGAACCAATTTCTCTGTGACCTGAAGGCTTGTGTCCCCTCTAGGGTCTTCCCACTGCCCACTGGGCTCTCCTCCCATGTCTAGACCATCGGGGGAGGGGGGAGTTAGAGAGTGTGGCTCCGATACAGGCTGTGGGACGTAACTTTGGCTGTCACTAGGCTGGGGACAGGACACATAGTAAAGCAGAATCACCACGGTTTTGCCCTGATATTCCAAACTTAATGATATTCAAAGGCTATAGAATCTTAAGGCACCTCAGCAAATGCCCCTTTCTCCAGCGAAATGTCAGCTTGTCCTGTGCCAGAGCAGCCCTCTTAACAGCTGAGGCAGAAGGAAGAAGGACAAGCAGGCGAAAGTACCTGAGCGCGCTTTCATGCAGAGAGGCTGCACCTCTCATCCAAATGCATTCCTGATTTAAAGTGCCTGTCTTGATTTTGCAGCTTAGGTTCCAAAATTGCTAGCCATGGCCTCTTAGGAGAAAAGACAAGCATCCCCAGTTAAAACTGGAATTTATTTCCTCTTAGAAACAATCTGGAGGGGCGTGTGAGTGGCTCAGGCGTTAAGCGTATGCCTTCGGCTGGGGTCCTGATCCAGATCGAGCCCCACATCAGGCTACCTGCTCAGCAGGAGGCCTGCTTCTCCCTCTCCCACTCCCCCTGCTTGTGTTCCCTCTCTCGCTGTGTCTCTCTGTCAAATAAATAAAATCTTAAAAAAAAAAAGTTAAAAAAAAATAATCTGGAGAATATTCAAATTCTCTAGTACTGTTGTTTTTTTCTAAGTGCTGTTGGTAGTATAGCTCAGCTCTATCCTGGGGTAAATAACTCTTTGGAAACAAATCCAAGTGTTTTCCAAATTACGTATTAAATTTGCCAACTGATTTTTAGAACGTAGTTCTTTCAGGAGCTGGGGATTGTGTGTCCACTAGAATGCTATTCCTATTGAACGATTTTATTTCAGGAGCCAAATTCTGCTTAAAACGAGTCAGACCTGGGATCCTGTCCATGGGCATTTAACTACCAAAAAAAAAAAAAGACTTCCTTTTAAGGTGCAAGTTACGGAAGACTGCATGATATCAGAACTCCAATATTAGTTTGATTTATTATGGAGCATTTTATGGCTAAATCATGCGACATGTAGATATTTGGTTTAAAAAATTAATGTCTTTCATCAGTTTTTCTAGAAATTAAAATGTGTTTTAACTGTGTTTATGTGTGATTTATTTACTCCTTTTGCCTTATGCCAAAAGATAGGTGAATGTCATTTTAAAGTGTTTGAGTCACAGGATGGTGTATGGAAGTGTTGAATCACTATATTGTACACCTGAAACTAATATTACACTGCATGTTAACTAACTGGAATTAAAATAAAAACTTAAATAAAAAATAAATAAAAACAAAACCAAAAATAAAGTGTTTGACTAAACTATAGAAACTTCCTCTTGGAAGATCTTATTTAATGTACACACATCTATTGTATATTTTAAATATGATTTGAGTATTTGAGAATTTTGATTTGAGTATGAAATTGAATCTGCTTGACCTTATAAAGGACATGTTTGTCCCACTGCCACAGATAGAAAACTAAAATTATGGAGTGGTGCTCCTGCCTAGTTATTCCCTCTTTGGCCAGCAGGGTTGTACCACTTGTAACAGGCCTGGAACAGAACTCCATACATCCCTGGACACTCATGTCCTGGAGTTGGAGGCATTTCAGCAAATGTGGAGCTCCTTCCTCCAACCTACTGTAAAGATTGTGGCTTTTCCAGAAAAATTACAACTCTGTCAGAAAAGGCTTTCTAAGCTTATTATTTATTATTTTATTCTAATCTATACATAATGATGCAATTTAAGCCTCTATGTTCAAATGTGGTTACGGAATTAATACTTTATATGTTTTAAATATTTGCCCATTCCTTTAATCTTTTTATTGTTTGGGCTATTCTTAAGTTCTTTTCTTGTTATTTTCTTATTCTTTCTAGCTTTCATCTTCCAAACTTTTGATTGATGGTAGAGTCTCCAATAGCAAGGCTAAAAGTACAGCCCCCCTCTTGTTACAATGGACTGACCACTTCTTTGTTAAATTTGAGACTTCATTTTTTGAATGTGGAGCTCTAAAACTCATTATTCAGTAATGTTTTTTTTTTTAAGATTTTATTTATTTATTTGAGAGAGAGAGACAGAGATAGTGAGAGAGAGCACAAGCAGGGAGGAGAGGGAGAAGCAGGCTTCCCGCGGAGCAGGGAGCCCAATGTGGGGCTCGATCCCAGGACCCTGGGATCATGACCTGAGCCAAAGGCAGAAGCTTAACTCTGCTTAACCTGCTGAGCCACCTATTCAGGTGCCCCTATTCAGTAATCTTGATGACAGACAGGTTCTGTGCACTGGGTGTTATACGCAAATAATGAATCATGGAACACTACATCAAAAAATATTGAAGTACTGTATGGTGACTAACATAACAAGATGAATCACTGAACTCTACCTCTGAAACTAATAATACACTATACTGTTAATTGAACTTAAAAAAAAGGAAACCCCCCAAAAATAAGGTAAAAAGGAAAAAAACTTAATTATTCTTTATTATGCTAAGTGAAATAGGTCAGACAGAGAAAGATAAATATCATAAGATTTCACTTATATGTGGAATCTAAAAAACAAAGAAAAGGAGCAAACAAAACCAGACTGAGACTCATAAGTACAGAGAACAAACTGATCGTTGCTGGAGGTTGCGGGGGAGGTGGTGGAGGGATGGGCGAAACTGGTGAAGGGCATTAGGCGTCCACATTTCCAGCTATAAGATACATAAGTCATGGAGATGAAAAGTACAGCACGGGGAATACTGTCAATAATATTGTAATAACATTGTGTGGTGCCAGAAGGTGACCACACTTACAGTGGTGAGCATCGCATCATGCATAGAATTGTGAAATCACTGTGTTGAACACCTGAAACTAATATAACATTGTACATCAACTATAAAAAAAAACCCAAAACATTCTGTTGTCATTGCAAGAAGAGACAAATGGATTATTGTAACAGAACAGAGTCCAGACATGAACCCGTGTGTGGATAAATATGCAATATTGATCATAACATTAAAACAACTCAGTGAGGAGGGGATAGTCATGGATAATTTCTCCCCCCCCTCAATAAACCTAACCACCCTCTCGTTCCTAAAACCTTTCCTGAATTCTAGAATGGCTCTTTTAAGCTGAAATAAAGATGGAAACACACACGCATGTAAAACTTCCAGTACATAAACCCTCATTGCCATAGGATTTTTAAAGAAACACTTAAATTCAAAAAGTGCTTTGTGGAACATTCATAATAGGAAAATATTTACATTAGTTATTGCTTTTAGTCTAGAGATGTTTTCTAAAATAACACCTCATTTTTATACTTACAGATGTCTAGAGTTTCTGCTTCAAAATGATGCAAATCCATGCATCCGGGACAAGGAAGGCTACAACAGCGTACATTATGCTGCTGCCTATGGCCACAGACAATGTCTGGAATTGGTGAGTTGTTCTGTCTTGTTTTATTTTCTCTAACACACACACACACACACACACACACACACACACCCCACCCACCCACCCACCCCTGTAAATGCTGGTCTTAATCTCTCACAAATGCTCTCATTGCCTAATTAAGTCCTCACCAGAAATGGCCTTGAAGATACTCTGTGGTAAGTAATTAAGTTGTTTTACTTCACAATATGTAGACCTTGTTCCATTTCTGTCCATCCTAATCTCAGCTGACAGGCAGTTGCTTCGTTTCCATATTGACTTGGACTAGGAATGTTTGACTGCTGTATGGACAGTTTGTATTTTAAAGATAATTCGGATGTATCAAATAAGCTCAGTATATTTTTCCGAAGTCACACTGATCACCCTGATGTAGTGTTCCATGATTCATTGTTTGCGTATTACACCCAGTGCTCCACACAGAATGTGCCCTCTTTAATACCCATCACTGGGCTAACCCATCCCCCTGCCCCCTCCCCTCCAGAACCCTCAGTTTGTTTCTCAGAGTCCATAGTCTCTCATGGTTTGTCTCCCCCTCTGATTTCCCCCCCTACTATCTTCTTTTTTTTTTTTTTTTTTAACATATAATGTATTATTTGTTTCAGGGGTACAGGTCTGTGATTCGTCAGTCTTACACAATTCATAGTGCTCAGCATAGCACGTACCCTCCCCAATATCCATCACCCAGCCACCCTATCCCTTCCACCACCCACCTCCGCTCCAGCAACCCTCAGTTTGTTTCCTGAGATTTAGAGTCTCTTATGGTTTGTCTCCCTCTCTGGTTTCATCTTGTTTCATTTTTTCCTCCCTTCCCCTATGATCCTCTGTCTTGTTTCTCAAATTCCTCAGATCAGTGAGATCATATGATACTTGTCTTTCTCTGATTGACTTATTTCACTTAGCACAATACCCTCTAGTTCCATCCACGTCGTTGCAAATGGCAAGATTTTGGGTTTTTTGATGGCTGCATAATATTCCATTGTGTATATATACACCACATCTTCTTATTCATCTGTCGATGGACATCTTGGCTCTTTCCATAGTTTGGCTATTGTGGACATTGCTGCTATAAACATTGGGGTACATGTACCCCTTCGGATCCCTATATTTGTATCTTTGGGGTAAATACCCAGTAGTGCAATTGCTGGGTTGTAGGGTAGCTCTATTTTCAACTTTTTGAGGAACCTCCATACTGTTTTCCAGAGTGGCTACACCAGTTTGCATTCCCACCAACCGTGTAGGAGGGTTCCCCTTTCTCCGCATCCCTGCCAACATCTGTCATTTCCTGACTTGTTGATTTTAGCCATTCTGACTGGTGGTATCTCACTGAGGTTTTGATTTGTATTTACCTGATGCCGAGTGATAGAACAGCAGAATTTATTGGAATTTCCAAACCACCAAAAATTTCAAACCTGTAGTTACCAAAAATCATCTGGAAGTTTGAGGTCAGAAGCCCTTCTATTGGTGTAGGTCACCAGACATGAACTTCAACGACCATGGGGACGGAAATGTAAAGTGAACAAATGAAGTGAGCCCAGGTCTAGAGCAATACGGAGTGGGGGGATTGTGGCAAATAGGACATGCTACGTCTAAAGGGAGAAACAGCTTGTCAGCTCCAGTGATGGAGATCAGGTGGTAATTCATAGTCAGGATTGAAGTCCAGTGCTTCAAGAGAAACTAGAAATGTAGACTTTTTATGTGAATTTCCTATTTTGAAAACACTGAGTAGGTCAGGAAGAAAAAAACATGGGTTTGTGGTTAAATCCTGCTTGCAGGCCACCGTTTATCATCTCCTAAGCATCATGCAAGTGGGGAGAGGGGTAGAGGGAGAGAATCTTCAAACAGACTGCCCGCTGAGCACAGAGTCCAACAAGGGGCTCGATTCCACAACCCCAAGACCATGACCTGAGTTGAAACCAAGAGTTGGATACCCTAACCAACTGAGCCACCCAGGCGCCCCCACTTAGGGTCATTCTTACTATATTTCTCTTAACCGTGAATGTGGAAAAATGTTCACAGACATTTGAAAATGAAGAGGTGGTTGGAAATAAAGAGCTGATGATTCTAGTGTTGCTGTGTGTGGCATTTATTAGTGAATTGTACCTACCTTCATCATTCTTGAAGACTTGTAAGTCTTTTTTTCCTGAGCTTCTTGTGTATGCTAAAGATTTCCTTGTTTGACCTTGGGGTGGCTTTTTTTTTTCCCTCTCATTTTGATTCCATCAGAGTTCCTCTTCCAGTTACTGTGGCTCTATAACAAATCACCCCAACAATTAGTGGCTCAAGACAACAGTCATTATTTAATATCTCTTACTGTTTCTGTGGATCAGGAATTCAGGAAGGGCTGAGCTTAGTGGTTCCAATAAAGTTATCCTCTGAGATTACAATAAATGTTTGGGGCTGGCATAATCTCAAAGTCTTCTTTACTCATATGTCAGTTACCTGGGTTGTAGGATTTATATTATTATTTTTTTAAAGATTTTATTTATTTATTTATTTGACAGAGAGAGCGAGCGAGCGAGAGAGGGAACACAAGCAGGGGGAGTGGGAGAGGGAGAAGTAGGCTTCCCGCCGAGCAGGGAGCCCGATGCGGGGCTCAGTCCCCAGACCCTGGGATCATGACCTGAGCTGAAGGCAGACGCTTAATGACAGCCACTCAGGCGCCCCTGGGTTGTAAGATTTAAATAGCTTCTATGGGGCTTCTTCATCTGGTTTTCTTCAGCATGGTGGTTTCAGAGTAGTTGGATATCTTACATGGTGGCTCAGGGATCCAAAAGCATTCTGCTCCGGGACAGAGTGGTAGAGAGCCAGAAGGAGAATGAGTGAGAGAGAGACAGTATCGCTCTTAATGATCTAACCTTGAAGGTCCCACAGGGTCACTCCAGAGCGGAAAAGTAGACTCCATCTTTCAAAGGGAAGGGTGTCAAAGAATTTGTAGACATATTTCAAAACCACCCAGTTCCATAGGAAGATGTAGAAAGCCAGTGATTCCATAGCCTTCTGTAAGATGGACTTCCATGGAGAACCACATGTAGGCAAGGGGCAGTCCCTTATCTTGTAGAGGAGCAAACCAAACCACAGGGCCGTAACTGGTTTGTACCAAAGGTACAGCTCGGGTCAGTGGAAGAGGCAGGCTCACAAATCGGGATTCCTGATTTAAAAAACAAGAAATGTTTACCACAGCATGCTGCCTTCCAGTGCAGGGCGAAGCTCCCCCCACCGCCCAAGGCTGTTCAGCATGGAGCAAAAGCTTGGTAGGAACTGGTTAAGGTAGAAGACAATATCCCTTCTGCCTTCTAACACCAGCATTGCTATGGAAGTTGATACCGACCTATCACCAGATAGGACTCTGTGTTTAGGTCCCACATAAGAAAGGCTCCTCACAAAGTGTGTGTGTGCATGTGTGTATGTTTAGGAATCAGTGGCAGAGTGAAGGCTTACTATTGTTACGACCCATTATGAGCCTGCATTCCAAAATGTACTTAAGATACAGTTGTCTTTAATTGTTTTTCTCTATGAAAACCACATGTCATAATTGGACATATGAACTTTTATTACAGAGTTATTATAATCTTAATAACTTTACTGTTTTAAAGTGCTTTGAGGAGTTATCTTTAATCCCATAGCATAAGTAACTCTGAGAATGATTATCCTGTAACATTGTCTTTCTCTGTAAGTAATATATTGCGTATTATTTTCGTTTTTCAGGAAAGCCATTTCAGGGCCATTATTTCTGTTATCCAACGAAAAGGTTTTCTGTCCACAAGAAGGTTTTCGAAGTTCTATCTGATAATGAAATTACCTCTCTGATTGTATCAAAACTTGCCCTGTGTGATTGACAAAGAGATGATTATTCTTGGCAATTTTAAGACATTTGAAAGTAGGTAGGTGAGGTATCCATTGATCATAATTTGTAGTGTCAGTTGAAAAAGCCAGATTATCAATATAAATTGGTAGAAATGTCATCTTTTGCTCTCAGGAAAGGACCGGAGTGGGTTTATAACACAGATGGGATGAAAATACTTCTCATTACCCTGAATGATTGTGGTTGGATGGAAAGTATGTATATGTCCATTTTGGAATACATCCTAAGATTCCTCTTGGGTGTGGTTCAGCTAAGCAGAGAGATCAACATTCTTGTCCTACCCCCTCCCACTCAAACAGAAGAGAATCCTGGGCTCCCCCCTAGGACTAGCACCGTAGAGCCAGACCACTGCAGCCATCTTAGCCTGACTCCTGGCTCACAGAACTGCGAATAGATTTGGGAGTGGCGGAGACCACCCATAATGGCATTTACTACATGTTTATCACATGCCAGAAATGCCATTTAATTTTTTTTTCTTTCAGTTATATTGAAATATACTTGACATACAACATACAAAGTTAAGCTGTACAGCATAACGGAGGCGCCTGGGTGGCTCAGTCATTTGAGCGTCCAACTCTTGATTTCCACTCAGGTCATGATCTCGGGTCTTGAGATGGAGCCCTGCATCAGACTCCATTCTCAGCGGGGAGTCTACTAGAGATTCTCTCTCTCCCTCTCCCTCTGACCCTCCCCCCACTCACACTCTTTCTCTCTCCAAAATAAAGAAATCTTTTAAAGAAAACCTTGAAAAAAAGGTGTACAGCATCATGACTTGACTTACATATATTGTTAAATGATTACCACAGTAAGTTTAGTGAACATCCATTACCTCATGTGGACACACACAGAAAAAAATAAGAAAAGAAAAAGAGGGGCGCCTGGGTGGCTCAGTCAGTTAAGTGTCCAACTCTTTATTTTGGCTCAAGCTGTGATCTCAGGGTCATGAGACTGAGCCCTGTGTCATGCTCCACGCTCAGCACGGAATCTGCTTGGGATTCTCTCTCTCCCTCTCTCTCTCCTTCTGCCCCTAACGCCCCCTCAAATAAATAAATAAAATCTTAAGAAAAAAAAGAAAAGGAAGTGGTTTTTTTTCTTGTGAGGAGAATAGGGCTTGTTCTTGATACAA